AAGGAAATTGCATGGAGAATAGTTTGATTGGGGTTGTGTTTGCAAAGAATGAAAGGTCTTATATGGAATTTCAAAGAAAGAGTAAGGGTATTTTTGGAAAGAGTGGAGAAAATATGTGATTTTAAGGGTTAGCTTTAGAAACCCTTTCATTTTGTTTCTTCACCACCGCCTCTTTCATCCCTTATTTCTCTCAATTTTTCATTCAAGTTTCCAAGGATCTTTGAAGAGCTTTTGACTAGAATTTGTTACAAGTTGATCCTAAGCACTAAAAGGTGAGCATCCTTACTCTAGAAGCAAAATTTTTTTATTTGTTGAAAGAGTGGGATCCTTATTAAGTTTTGTGTTGAAGGTTAAGAGAAAGTGTCAAGCCATCAAGAGTAGAGAGGTTTAGTGGATTCTACTTGTGTCCAAGGTAAGTAAATTCACCTAAGTTGTGATTTACTTGATTGAAAGATGTGTAGAGATTTTTAGATATGTGCTTGATGCTTGAATTTCTATGTTTAAAATGAGTTGATGAATTCAAGGTTGTTATAAGAAAGAATTTCCACCATGAGAAAGGTGGATTGTGTTGTTAAAGTTGGGAAGAAGTGTGGATAGAATTAGAGGGATTTGAGAGGATTATTTGAAGTGTATTTTTCCTTGCAGGTTGTATGATGTTTTAAAGGAGTTGAACTCCTATTTTGGATGATTAAGAAAGAAGCATAATTAAAGTTAGAATAGAGTTTATGTGTGCACACATTTTGTTTGATGAAATGTCTAAAAGAAGCATGAGTAGAAGTAGAGAACCTTACTTTATGCAACATAGCATATTTGCATGTCATGAATGCATATAAGAAAGATTTTAGGCATGAGCCATCCATATGCATATGTTTAATTGAGTAATCACATGAGAAAGAAATATGAGAAATGAGAAAGAAACACTCTATGAATAGAGATAAAGAAAGGAACCAATTCTCTTAGAGTAAAGAGAAAGAAAGAACTAGCACTAGAGGATAAAATGATTATTAAGTGCTACAGAAAAGAAAAGAAAATAGGTTGTGCGATGGGGAACTCGTGAGTGTAGAGTTACCCTCATGTAAACCGTTATGAGAAAGAACGGTCTCCGCCATGAGAGAGCGGAATGCATGTAAATCGCTATGAGAAAGAGCGATCTCAGCCATGAGAAAGCGGAATGAGATTGAGAAAAAGAAAAGAATAGAAAGAAAAGAAAAGAAAGAAAAATGAGATTTTGAATTAGAAAATTGATAAGAATACAAAGAGAATTGATGAATAATGCACGGGGATTATAGAGTAGAAGATTTTACTTACTGGGCATCTTCGTGCTCACTCCGTGTTTTCCTTGTTGTACAGGACATAGGTGAGGACCTGGTCGGAGGGACGTCGGCAAGCGGGGAGACTTGGCTGCACTGTCCACTGTTTTCGTTTTTGAGAGTCTTTTGTACAAATGATGGTGTACTTTGTAAAGAATGTAATTATTAAGTAAAGAAAATTTTTTTGGACCCAACTGTTTTGATAAATATGCTGTCTTTTTATTAATCTATATTATGAATATGGTAGAAAGAAAGTAGTTGTTACAATTTTCTTTTGTATGTTGATGACATGTTGTTAATATGTGAGTCTAAGTCCAAAATAAATGATTTAAAGGCAAGATTAACTGCTGAATTTGATATGAAGGACTTAGGATGTGCAAAGAAAATTCTAGGAATGGTGATAGAGAGAAATAGGAAATCAAATAAGCTAAAGATTCATTAAATGTCATATTTACAGAAACTTACATCGAAGTTTGTAATGGTTGACTCTAGAGTTGTTTCTATACCCTTAGCAAGTCACTTTGTACTTAGCACAATGTCCCAAAACAGAGACTAAACTGATAAAAATGGAGAACATTCCATACGTTAATGCAATAGGCTCAACTATATGCTATGATTAGTACCAAACTAGATCTGGCCTTTGCTATTTCTTTACTAAGTAGATACATGTCTAATCCTGGAATTGAGCATTGGGTTGCTTTAAAATGGCTTTTAAGATAAACAGTTTTGTGCATGTTGGTTTGGACTATTGTAAAAGAAATACTATACTTGATTTAGTTGGGTATGTAGATTTTGATTTTGCAGGTGATAGAGATTCTAGAAAATCTACAACAACCTATTATTTTACTCTTGGTGGGAATTTTGTGAGCTAGAAGTCACAATTACAACCTCTGGTTGCTATATCCACAATGGAGGCTGAATACATGGCTATAACCGATGCATTTAAGGAAGCAATTTGGCTTCAAGGTATCTTGAAAGAGGCTAACCTGCTAGAAGGGCTTGTGACTGTATACTCAGACAATCAAAGTGTCATCCACCTATGTAAAAATCCAATGTATCACAAGAGAACTAAACACGTGGGTGTGAGGTTCCATTTTGTAAGAGATCTCATCTCAAGAGGCCAACTAAATCTGAGGAAGATACCAACCAAGGAGAATCCAACTGACATGGGGACTAAGGTGGTGATGGCTGCTAAGTTCAAGCATTACTTGGGCTTACTTCACATTAGGTAAGGTAATGGAGCTGAGAAGGAACATTGAAGATGCTTGCTGCACTAATGGGGTACTGCTCAGAAGGGGTCTGTTGGCTTCAAGGTAGAGATTGTTAATTGTGAAGCCATTAAACGATGTCGTATGACTTAGTCCCATGCATTGTCGTTTTGGGTGCTGCTTTTTTTAATCTTGGCCATTGCTCTGCATCTGATCCAATGGCTGCCACTTTCCCATTTGGTTAACGTATAAAAGCAGACCATTTTGTTGTTTTGAAGAATAGAATAAGCTCCCTTTTCGTGAATTGATTTTTCTCTCTGCTAGGGTTCATATTAGTACTAAAATTCATGTAATTCTTTGAGTGATCTGGTGAATCATGATTGTAAGGTTGTGTTTCCTTTCCATTGTAGAGAAGTTGGGTTAGATTTCTCTTAAGATTAAAGGGTTACAGTGAGTGAGTTGAGTGATTAGCGATAGAGAGAGTTTTGAGCTTTCTTGGTTGAGTTTGTAATATGTAAACATTCTTGATAACCATAGTGCAGCAGGCCTCAGTATTCTAGAGCTCAACGTGGACGTAGCTTGTTCAAATCTTGAACAAGTGAACCACAATAATTGTGTGTGTTTTTTTACCCTTCTTTGATCTTGTGTGTGTTGAATTGGCAGTAGATAGAGTGTGAATTTAGTCTCAAATCATAACAAAATCTTTGTGTTCCTTTTCATTTATGTTCTACTGCTTTGATTTTTCATATTGCCATTGTTATTATTGTAGAACCTTCCAAGTAAATCTGAAACTCTAGTCAGTCTTCACAAATCGACAGATATATCATAGGTGCCTCTTAGCTTGTACATACGGTACGTTGACTGGGCAACGAAACTATTGTTGATAATTATGTAGCATCACTAGAGACACCACGCTTAGGTGATGACGACAAGTGTATTTTTCTATAGTTATATTTATTTTTAAATTATATTATGGAAAAAAAATTTCTTATCTTTGATGAGTTGGCTTTGTCAGTTATTTAACATCCTTCGGAGTAGGTAGTTGAGATTTTTCTAAAATATGAGGGGAGGTTCTGGGGGTTTTTTATTTTTATTTTTATTGTTGGTCTAGTTTGATTTCTAAGAAAACTCAATCTAGTTTGACATCTTTTATGTTTGTTAAATACTTAATATATCACTCACTTAATTGATCGTATTATTATTGTTGTTGTTGTTAAAAGAAGCAGAATAAAAACAATCATTAGGATATACATTTATATTTTATGGAAATAATTATTGGAAATTATAACAATTCAAGATAATTAATAAAGGGAGGCATCTATTATCTTGTTTTATTTTATATAATTAGGGATGATAGCTTTTGATTAATAATGTGCATTAATGTCATAAAATAATATATAGTTATATTATATAACTATGTGCCTGCACGTAGCCACATACATAATTGCGGGTTCAATTGACGGAATATAAATTTTGGGTGGAAAAATGGTAGTTTGAAACTTTTTGGGTGGGAAAGTGTCATTAAGGCAAACTTTGGGTGGGAAAAAATCGTTTATTCTATAACAAAAGTGCTTCATATTTTTAATGTGCCTTAGTTTTATTTTTGGTAATGGCAGTTGGATGTTTTTGTCATGATCGAAACATGTAGAAATTAAACACGTTTTCCTTGATTAGACTAAACTTTTTTAATATATTGAATGGGTCAATATTAAAGTTCCATTTTCATAAAATTATGATCCGGAAAGATCTTCAATTTAACTCTTTGTGGAGACAAACACATGGAATCCATCAGCAGACAAGAATACCTGATATGATTTAATTTAATTTTAATTAATGACCCGACTATATGTTGCCATTAAATTTGCAACTCTCACATCCACTTTGTTGGTCATAAAGGCAGTATGATTTCAGGTTTCAGCTATTTTATTTTTCTTTCATGGAAAATAAATTTGAATTTCATAAGTGCTTACGTTATGTGTATAAAATAAAATTTATTACTTTTGTATAAATATAATCTGGTGCAGTCGTGACTTTTTTTAAAAGTTTCGGGTCCCGTTCAGACAGGACATTATTTTGACATCCTACCTGCTACTACTAGTCACATATTTAATACCCTAATTAATATTATCATTAATTCAATGAAGACGGTGGTGAGTTTTAATATTTGATCATATCATAACCTTCCATAAAAAGATGCATGGAGTGTAAACATCTAGCTACCTTGATTCTATATATAATTAGGAAGAATAGAATCTAGAACAAATTTACATCTCTCGAATTGTATTCAACCTTCAATGTAAACTGACATCTATTTCTTTTATTTATTTATTTTTTATTTTAATGATTAGAGGTATTCAAACTAGTTTATACGCATCTCAAATAATCTCTCAAAATATCTATTTCATTCGCATTAGAGGCAATATGATAACAACTATTTTTTTATTTTCTTTCATGGAAATAGGTGATTGAATTTGTACAAAGTAAATACACATGACAATAGCTAGAGATAAGTTATTAAGCAAACCCACACCTAATTAAGAAAATAATTAATTAATTTTACACTAACAACACCATCTGCGTTTCATTTCATTTACTGAGGGAATGCTTCAATAATGAATGGTATTGCCGGAATATTGATAATATTATATTGAGGGAATCCTGCTTCCTCTAATATCTTCTTCCATTCAACCTCAGTCCTCTCTTTTCCACCTGTGCTGTGAGCTATCATCAGTAAATCAAAATCCAAACCCGTGTCATCAGACAGGTCATTGCCATCAGGTTTTACAATAACTTCAGTAATTAAAACTTTTCCTGTTTTCTCTGGAATTGCGTTTCGGCAATTTCTCAAAATCTTCACACAATCTTCATCGCTCCAATCATGCAATACAAACTGTATATGTAGAGATTGAATTAATTAAGTATGCCACATATTCTTTGGACTATTCTTTATGAAAGAAATGCAAAAGAAGCTAGCAACCATTAATTACCTTCATTATAGCAGCATCGGCTTTAGGAATGGCTTGAAACATGTCACCGTCAACATGAGAGATACCATCAAACTTGGGTGCTGTGGAAACAACATGAGGCAAATCAAAGTTAATTCCTCTAATATGTGGATACGATTTCACAATCTCATTAATAAGTTCTCCGGTACCGCCTCCTACGTCCACTAACGATCCATTAATACTACTAAATCCATCTTTGTATCCTGATATGATTGCTCTGGCAATGATCTTTGACGTACATGCCAATCCATCGTTGAACAATTTGTTAAATTCAGGATTCTGTAAAGCGAAGTCCCAGATCTCTTTGCCATGAGCTATCTTGAAAGCGATACCACCTTCTTTCACACATTGGCTAAAACAGTGCCAGGGAGCCATTAGCAATGGATGATTCTCCATTAATATCATTGGTGCTAGGCTTAGCTCGGAGTCACGTAAAAGCCATCTGGATGAGTGGGTTAACCCGTAAAGGGTCTCTCCATTACCGTTTGAATCATGATATGCAGCGAAGATTTTCTTGCGGACAAGCAATCTCATGATGCGTGAGAGGTAAGAGATGCCTGGGAAGGGTGAGCCAATCGATGAAGCTAATTGGGACAAGGTGATAGGGCCACAGTGAGTGTTTATAATGTCGGCAATACGGAGTTCAACCGCACACTTTAATGCCATTGAATCTGCAAAACTAAACATGTGTTGCCATATTTCTACTTGCCCTCTCAAAGATTCATCACTCGTTTCTATTGCTTCCATTCTTCTTCTTCTCCTCTGATAAACTGATGATACCAGTAAAGTTAGATAGGCAAATTAAAGCTTGAATTGTATATACAATAAACAATTAACTTGGTAATTAACATGACTTATATTGATAAAAAATTACAAAATAATTAAAATCATCATGATCATTCATATCTACATGCAGCTTAATTAATCTAGAGTATATATATATATATATATATATATATGGTGGTTTGAAAACCACATTTTAATTGAAATGATCTGATTTTAGCTTTCATAAAAATAATGAATTGTAGAAAACTAGCTAAGAATTCTGAAAACTAACCGTTGTAATTTTTGATGAATATCTTTTCCCCTAATTTCCTCACCTTTTTCTGTTTCTTTCTTCTGCTATAGCACTCTGCTTCTCAAGCTTTTTGGTTTCCTTTCCCTTGTTCACAAATAGCTAGTCACTTATTTATTAGCTCAATTAGTGGGAGTAGTTGGTCAACCGGTCATATTCTGCTACCTCAACTACCTAAAAAAAAAATCTTCACTCTACTCGAAATACGTAATAGTTTGGCCGGGTCTTAGTGATACAGCATGAGCTTTTATGCATATTCATGGGGGTTATTACATATACTATTTAATAAATCAAATAGATTGACATAGCATTATAACTCTATAAGCCACACAATAAAGATTGACTCATAACTCAATTTTACAAACTTTCTCTTACAACTCTGACGTAACAGTTCGTAATTGGTCAGCTCATAATGGATAGACAAGACCTATTTACAAGTTGACCAATTATGAACTACCACGTCGGGGTTGTGGGAAAAAATTTGTGAGTATAATATTGTCCTAAGCCATATGCTGTCATCTCACATAAAAAAAAATGCCAAGTTTGCTTGCGCATATAGAATTTTGTTACATTTATAATGTCTAGAAAAACTGCAAATAATTAAATTATTTATTTCACAAATTCACGGTATTGATTGCACAAGAAAGGGACGAATTAACTTTCACATAACCACATTTCTAAGCATTCTTGCAAAGGTAAAATGAAAACTTCATTACAGTAGAAATCTTTTACCTACTATGAAACAAGTGATAAATCATGACAATATCAGAGTGGAATGACAACTACACAATAACATTTGAACAATCACGTATAGGCTATGATAAGTGCACGTGTATGTTTCTATCACCTACACATGTTTCTATCATTCAACAAACTTGAAAGTTTGGTACCAAATGAGTAATACTGTACTACTTAATTTCATTCAACTACCTCGGAAGTTTCGGGACCAAGTGAACAAGACTATTCATGCATCAACATTTCTAACGTCTTTATACAAAACCTCTCAGTCATCCTTAATAGTTTGGTTACTTGAAAAATAATAATAATAATATGCAGAATTTTTAGTTAAAAATAATAGTGCATACTTTATTAATGCATGATACGCTATATATTTTTTTTTATTTAAGATTGAAGTAAACCTGGCATAAACCTGTGACGATTAATTGTGAATTGGATTCATATAGTAGCACTGGAAATCACAACAATGATGAAACAATATTGATCCTTAATCTGCAACCAGAATGAGTGTATATAATTAAAGAGATGTATGTATAGCAGAATAGAATAGATAAGAGTGAGATTAAAGGGGTTGATTATACTAGATCTACAGTGAAAAGCCGATCGAGGTCATCCTAAAGAGAGAAAAAAGCAAGTTTAAGATTTAGTTATATTATACCTGAAAAAGTAGGGCTGATGTCGAACCTTGTCAGCATGGCCAGTCAGAGCTTAGGTAGGTTTTACAACCATTCATATGAAGCCACATCGCATGCTGGCGTAAGCGGCATGCTCTTGCCACTATAGTGGGTATGCGCCAAATTGGCGAAAGGTTGGGAACGGTCCACGTGTCCAATCCCTGCAGAAGTCGAGGAAATCACTCAAGTAGGTAAGCAACGGGACATAAAGAAGAATTTGCATGGTAATCTGACTCACTCACAGATTTAGTAATCATCACCTTAATTCATCCCACTATAAATAGAGGGCTACTCTCCCATTTGTGGGATTAACTAATTTTTCTCTGAAATAACATACTCTCTCTCTCTCTCTCTCTCTCTCTCTTGTATTCACTTGTATTCTCCAAGCTACAAATCAGCTCGCTAAACGCGATTTGATCTTATATATTAATATAATACCAGTGGACGTAAGATTCGCTTATTTAAGCATCCGAACTTGAACATTGTTCTTCACCTCTTGGTCAATCCAATCCCCCATATTCATGCGCGACTTCTGAGTTCGTTCAGCATTTCCTACGTGCGGTTAGTTGGTGACAAAATCCAGCATCAACAAATTATAATGCAAAATATTCATATAATACTTAAATATTTGGTATTTGGTTCACATGTTTAATTCTTTTATGTTGAGCAATATATATATATATATATATATATTATTTCAACAACATTAATTTCACCATAATATTATATTATGTCTAGTGGGCTAAACAAGCAGGTAAAAACAGCTAATTTTACCTCCTTCCCTGTGGTTTCTTAAAGTTTCGAAGGGTCCACACGTGTTAGAAGTGCATAGTTGCTCGTTGTCAACATCTAATTGTTCATTTTGGGCAGCGTGGACAATGTTCTTGATTGTTGATTTTTCCCGGTTATCCTTCCAAATAATATGGGAGTGCAGTGGAACTGGTAATGACAACTACGTAGACATTAGAGATACCATACATAGATGATATATTTCTATAACAATATACCATACATAGGTGATGAGAAGACAAAAGAATCCATTATATATAGCTGATCATGTCTAGGAAAACCAAACCTTGCTTTATAATTTCAAATAACCATGTGATGCATTTAAATTTTGTATTCGCATATAATTAGTTTAACAGTATTATTATAATAAACGGGCGTTTGGTTGGAGGTAATGTGAGATTATTGGAGTTATGTCATTTTATATTACTTGATTATCTCGTTTGATTATCAAGTAATATAAGATTTTGGTAATCTTCAAATACCAATAATAGTTACTGTTGGTAATATAAGAGGTAATCTGATTACTTTCATTTTCTTAGGTATTCTAAGATTACCAGGGTAATCTTGTTTTTGTTACAATTCTATCCCTTATTAATAAAATTTTAGGACAATAATTCCCTTATTTTTAAATTTATTTACATGAATATGACTTTTACTATTTTACCCCAATTAATTAACTTTTTGGACAAAATTATCCTTGAATTTAAAACAAATTGTAACCCACCCACCCAAGCCACACCCCCACCCACCTGCCGCCGGCAACCACCGCCGCAGCTAGCTGCTGGAATGGCACATGGAAGGCCAAAAATGGCTGTCGTGCGTCGCTATGGTCATTTCCGATCGTATCTCTGGCAGGAAATGGCTGTACGATGCACGAAGGTTATTTCCTGCCTTCCGTGCGTCGTTAGGTTGTCAGCTACCGGCGGCCGGCAGTGGCTGGGTTGGTGGGGGTGCTTTTTTGATTTTTCAAACTTTTATTATGGGGTTGTTTTTGCTAAGATTTTAAATGCAGGGGGTTATAATAATCAATATTAAAATAATATAATAATAATATTTAATTAAAGGACAATTAAGTAATTTAAATAACATACCTACCAATTTATTCCTCCCAACCAAACATATTAATATAACATACCCACCAACTAATCAAACACATTTTCTTAAAGATTCCCAGTATCTTTAAGGTAATCTAACTTTATAATAATCTAACATTTCTAATAATCTTTCTAATAATCTAACATTTCTAATAATCTAACATTCTCTGAACCAAACGCATCCTAAGAGTTTTATTAAATTACATATTCGTATAGACTCAAAAGAATCCATTAACTTTCTTTTATATCTTCAAATCAACCATGTGATGAAATTTATTTTAAATTCATAGCTTTGCGCATGTGATTAATGTATCAGTATTATTTAAATTATTTGTTCTTAAAATAAGAAAGAATCCATGTGCAGGTGATCCGTATGTCAGTGACCAAACCAACCTTTTGGCTGATTCGGAGACCCGGACCCCCCATCACAAACCAAAATAGAAATGAATTGTGTATTAAAACCAATAAATTAATGATAGTGCATTTGGGATTTTGTTCGTAATATCAACTTACAGTTGCAGAGTCAAACCCTAAACCTTCGCTGTCCCCTAGCCGTGAGTGAGTGACTGATTGCAGATGGAATTGAATGAAGATTTCAATTCGTGCTGATTGCAGGAGAGTGAAAGTGTGAGTGGATCAATGTTTGCAGTTGAGAGAACGAAGATTGCAGGTGGAATTGGAATGAAAATGGCAGATGGAACAATAATGTTGAGACAATCTTGATCCTGAATCAGAAACCAGAATGAGTGTATATGAACGAGAGAACCCACCAAGCCAATTTCATATGTCCCCCTATTCAACCGTTTGATCATATGAGGCATATTCAATCAATAAATGAATCGATGATGGAGGGTGGGAAACGACCATGTCATTATGACTCATTTAATGGGATCCCTGCCATTGACGTTGGATTTCAGTCATTAAGCAATCGTCCCACAATAATTACTTAGTACTTGATTGTGTGATGTTAATCTTGATCGATCACTATGTTGAATATATGAACTTCTAATATCTAAATGTTTAATTCTTTAGTATGAACTATGAAATAATTTCAAATGAGTTATCAAATAATTTGTCTTTTATAAACTCTATTTAAATAAGGCATATCAGACAAACCTTTCACGTGGAAGGCTGTGCTTACTGATCTTCTGCTTCTTTTCTAGTTGATTTCGGGCCCAAACTCATTTCCTTCACTCAACTGATTATGGGTTTATCAAACAAGAAGTCTTTAATTATATTTATCCTCTTAAACATATGTTATTAGATTAATTATTCTATGATAACAAATTTAACAACGTTTCTTACGTGCATGTTACTAGTAATTAACTTCGATAGATCATATAGCGGAGAGCAAACAAATGTGTTCAATAAAAGCAAAAAATATATTATTATTTTATTATCTTAATCCCTGGCCTCCTGAATCAATTTATTTAACTTTTTAAACACTCTATATCAAGATTATTAATTTCAATAAATCATTTTAGTTCGCTAATTTTTCAGAACTTTTATCATATAATTCATTTCACAGCAATTTTATACTTGCTTTTACACACTTCTTCTTTATTTTCTCAATTCTTATATTATAGTTAATTTTATTTCTCTTTTTAATAACATTATGTAAATTCATTTTATAGGGTCAGTATTGTATTTTTTATTTATTTATATATACTTAAGGATTTTTTACCCTTCTCTCTCTCTCTCTCTCTCTCTCTCTCTATAGATATAATATATATATATATATAATATATATATATTTATTATAATATTTTGATTTCAACCCTG